CCTCTGGGTTCCCTCTGGTCTTCAAAGAGTGTAGAAGAAGAAGAAGAAGTCCAAAGTGGAAATGTGTGTCTGTTGGGAAGGCCAAGGCACTGCTATTTATAGACTTTCAGGAGTGACCGGAACGGCCCATTCTGGCGTTGCATCTTTACTCACAACGGTCATATTTGGAATGACCCGTTCCAGGCTAGAATTTATAGATCTTTTTGGAAGGTTGGAACGGCCCATTCCAGTTTGGGAACGGTCTGTTCCGGGCTAGAAATTATAGGTCTTTTTGGAAGCTTGGAACGGCCCGTTCCGGTTTGGGAACGACCCGTTCTGGGCTACGAAAATCCCATGAAAATTACTAAATTACCCTCCACAAAAGTATGAAAATTGAGGTGTTACATTTGGCTTCCATTTTTTGTCTTTTTTATTCTTTCTTGTATATATTGTTGAAATTTAAATCTAATTTGTAAAATATTTTATTATTGAATCATTAACTTGAAAACTTTGAGAGAGAAAATAGTGGGAAGATTAATGGAACAAAATTGGTGTTTACAAACACCATACCTCAACCTTTGGCATGTAATAGATTCATCTAACCTATATATGTTCAACACTTAGGTAAGAAAACAACATATTTTCAATAAACAGCCTATGCCCAACACCATTCTTCTCGTGCTCGATGCCATTGATTCAAAGAGCCTCTAGCTCACCCACGTCCAACATCACTCAACCTGCATTTGGTGTGGATGAAATAGAGAGTCCTTGTGGTATTCACTCTTGGCATGACTAAACTCACGTTCGACCCCATTTTAGATACATGTTTAACATCATTAAACTAGCACCCATGTTATCTAGGCAAAGAGCCTTTGTCTTGATCACACCTGGTGCCACTCAACTAAGGTCCAACATCACCTAATCAAGTTTAATAGGTGACCCACCGATCTAACCAGTGACCCATTGACCCAGTACTCTCACCGGTTCAATGAACGGTCCGATTTTTAAAACACTGGTTAAAAGTGTACTGCAAACACTTCTCTGCCTTCTTTCCAATTCTCAGATTTTTATGCCGGTTTTGCAAGCATTTTATGTTGGTCAAGGAAAGCATGGTCATATTGGCCCATGTATCAGTATAGCATTGTATAGGATTTTGATTCTGTTTAAACTAATTACCAGTCTAATATATTTTCTGAAATTTCTGGTATGCTGTAAATTTTGGGAACGTTGTTGGTCATTTTTTAATAAATTTCTCTATATAATTACTTAAAAGTAAAAGTTTCGGTGTGTCTAATAAGTTTCACACATTACTTAAGAATCGAGATTAAAGATAATTTACAAGTATCCTTTTTTAACTTACTGAGACACTTTTTAAAAGATAAAATTGTAATGGTTTAACGAGCGTCAAAGTGATAATATTTTGGATGCAGTGGCCTTTAACGATGTCAACGGACTTAGAAAGAAGGATTAGGTTACTCTTATCTCATTAGCCTCGATTGAAAGTTTGCTTTAATATGCTTAAAAAACCTCAACACTTAGGAATTGAAGCTAAGGAATGTCAAAATGGACAATATCTTAGATGTAGTGACTTTAATGATGTCAATAGATTAACTATCGAAGCATTAAAAAAATAGTTAATCACTTATACACTGCTAGTGTAAAGTTTTTTTACACTGACAACTAATCATATCTTTTAATTGTGTCATGTCAGTTGTTTATTTAATGAAATAATAATAAAATAAGCAACTTTAAAAGATATGATTAGTTTCCAGTGTAAAAAAAATTACACTGACAGTGTATAGATGATTAACTCTTAAAAAAATAAGAAGGTAATAAATTAAACTTCTCTAAGTTGAAATTAATATATTGCATCCAACTTTTGGAGAAGGTCATAAGTCAATTTAACTTAGAAGAAATTTATTTATTTTGACTTTCTTATCTTTTTTCTTTTTATTATCTTGTCTAGTCCTTTATATAAAAAGTAAAAAAAATTTATCAAAATCAATAAAAGTATTTAAGATAATTAATTTTCATTAATAATGTCATAAAATTAAATTTTATTTCAAAAACACCTTCAATTAATTGTTTTAAATAGTGTTGCATTGTCGTTATGAATTGGCATAAATGATTTTCAAGATCCGGTCTGAGTTGGCGTTGTCCATGGTGTGAGTTGGATACCAACCTTTAAAATTTTACTTTGATGGGCATACCTATTCAAAGCAATTTTTTGGTACCATAGATGAAATTTCTCTAGTAAATCTCTATTGACTTTAAGTTCGATAATAAAGTTTTGAGTAAAACTGAACATTATTAAGTTTTAACTAACTACTAAGTAGATAGTGGTATTTAGTCTGAGGATTTTCAGCATATCATTGACTCCCTGTCTAGTAGACTTTGAGTGTTATATTCTATCTATCATTTTTAAGCATAAAAAAATAGTGGTTGCATTAGATCACACTACAAATAACTTTTTTCATGGATGAATATCACTTGTATTGCTAATAGATTAATAAATGTATCCACTCTCAGTATAAACAAAATTAGCAATTAATATATCTTAAAATAAGCATTTGTTTAATATATTTTAAAGTAAGTATATGTTTCTTATAATCACAACAAAAAAAAGTATATGCATTTATTTCTTATAAGAGTCTCGAAAGAGTATGATTTTAAATATTTTTTTTTACATAAAAATGGATGTTTGTAAAACAATGATAATAATAAAATGTAAACATATTTTATTATACTAAATCTTCGGTTTTCCAATTAATCTAATTTTAACCACGTATTTTGAGTTTTTTAATATATTTTTATATATATGTGATCCATACAATATCTTAAAATTAATAATTAAAAATTAATATATGCTTACAAAGTGTGATTTCTACTTATCAAATATTATTTTAATACAAATGAAGATCAAACTTGGAGTACTAAGTCAATCCTATGTATCCCATGACACGTCTTACAACCACTAAATCAAGAGGGTTGTTAATATGACTTAACTTATTTTGACTTGTTGGGGACATTTATTTACATTCATTCTTTTAAAGTGTATATTTAAAAGTTTTGTAAAATATTTATAGAGAAGTGACATAAAAATACATCATTTATATTTATTGAGTTTCAAATTTATTTTTAAAAAAGTTGTTTTTTTTTTATCATGGTTAGATAATAATCTTATTAGCGTTTTTAAAAAGAAAAAGAAAACTGTTATTTTTAAACATAATTTTGAATCTTGCTTATGATCGACCTCTCTTATTTATAGAATAATAAGGTCAAGTGAGATGAATTAAGTTGAGCCAAAAGTACGTTGATTTCTATATACTAAAAAAAATGGCATATGTAAGAATCTTTTGTTAATTTAATTATATCTTTCAAGTGATGTTGTTTTATATTATATATATCATTCAAATGAAGTTTGGTGGTAGTATTTCTTTACCCAGAAACAATATGAAAAACAAATTGAAATTAGTTTGGTTCTATCAAATAAGATAGTAAAGATTTCGTTAAAATTTCAAAGATGTCAGCAATTCGTTATAAACTTTTCTAATTTTAGAAATTAGTTATAAACTTTTCAAATATGTTGTAATTAATTTGGGTATTGAAATCATATTTTGTTCTGATCTAAACTTTTCGTTATAAGAAAAATTAAAAATAATATTTTTTGGACTATAATATAATATTTACATTTATAAAAAAAATACTTTTCTCTTCTTTCTTGATATACCAATACCCAAGGTATTAAAAATAATTTTCTTTATTATATATGGATGTAGATATATGATTCTACTTATCAAATGGTTGATAATAAAGATTAATTTTAATATAAATACGAGTAAATTCTTGTATAATTGGAAAAATTTATACTCTGTTCGAAGAAGGTGATTTAAGAAAAATTTGAAAAAAAAAAGATGAATTAAAAATAAATTAAAATAACGACTTCTATTTGATGAAGTTGATTTAAAATTGAACTAATATGAGGGTTACATAATGAGAATCATCATCTCATATGAGAAAATTCTTGTGAATGTGTAACATTTTATATTTATGAACTTGTGTTTTATAAATGTTAATGCATTATGTTATATCTATATTCTAATATCTTAACACATTAATGTAACATATTATCTAATGTTGAAATATGTTAACTAGTAATGATATATAGAAGCTACAAGTCAAGTAGCATATTTTAACATAAAAATTTAACTATATGAAATATAATTTTAAAAAAATATTTTTTTAATATATTTTTTTTATATAACTTCATTATGATGAATAACTATAAATTTTCTTTTATTTTATATTATTTTTTTAATATTTTTTATCAAATCAATTCTTTTCTTTTTTAGTTTCTTCGGTTTCTCTCTCTATTTCAAACAAAAAAATTAATGTTTCAAGAACTTAAATTCAAGTACACAGTTTTAGATTTCCTTTTTTTTTTATGATCATTGTAGTATATTTTAAAAACAAAATACATTCAATTTTTCCCGTGTGAGATTGAGAAAGATGGCATTCATGACACACGTGGCAAAAAAATTGGATCCGTTCAAAATATACTACAATAATAATATAAAAAATTCAAATTTTGTGTACCCGGATTACAGCTATTGTAGCATTAAATTTTTTCAGGTGTGTGTAATGTAAAGACTAATCTGTATCCACATCGAAACTAATGTCTGCTATCTAAATTTTCGATAAATAATGTTATCAACTAAATTAATTAATCTTTTAATCCAAGTAAATTAGGTTAATTAGTTGCGTGTGCGGTGTGCGTCAGCGCTTGCGTTAGTTGGATTTGTTTTATGAATTAATCACCTATACATAATTAATGTATAATTTTTTTATATTAACAATTAATTATATCTTTTAATTATATCATATTATTATTAAATGTATTTATAATAATTAAAATATATAATTAATTGTTAATGTAAGAAAATTATACATTAACAGTGTATAGTATACGACTCTTGTTTTATTTTTATTTTTATTTTTTGTCAGGATGAACAAATTAACTTGTATTCCATAAGGTATAAAAGGTAGAAGAAAAACGGTTGAGGAAAAATCTAGGGTTTGAGTTTCACAGTGAGAGATTCCAGCTAGAATGGGAAAAAACCAGAAATCAGGTTTAGGAAGAGC